CCCCAAAACCCCAAAACCCCAAAACCCCAAAACCCCACACTACTTATACAAATTGTTATAAAAAATATATAAAATCAAAATGGAGATGATGCTAAGGTATAGTTTTTTCCGAATTTTTGAATATCTCCAACGCATTACTATTTATGGCTTTCTCATTGTTTCGCTTTTGCTTTTCTTTTCAAGCCAAAAAGTTGCTTATCTGATTTTTCTTCAAAAGTGTTTGTTTTTAAGGCAAAATTCTATTCCATTTTTAGAAATACCACACTCTTTACTATACACCCCCACAATCCGCACCTCAAGTTCTAACATTATTTTATAGAAGAAACTATTACCAAGTCGAAAAGCGTGACCGCAAACAGCCAGGTACTTCGCCTTCCATTTTCCACCAGTCAAGCCCAGTAGCTCTATTACTCCTTCTTCCAAGATTGAGCTCTCTTGGCTTAAAGGGATTAGGTTCATAATAAAGTTAACTGGTGGGCTTAGGCATGGATTTAGAGCCAGGAGTTTTGTCTGATTTATTGGTTTGGCTTAGAGTTGGGATTTTTGGGTGATTGAGGGACTGAGGAGGGATAGAAGGGGGGTTGGATAGGGATTAGGGGGGTTTAGGTTGGAGTTGTGGGATTGGAAGAGGATTTTGGAGGAGAGGGATGGTAGGAGAGATAGGAGAGAGAGGAGATGGTTTTAGAGGGAGTACAAGGGTTGGGAGTTGAGAGAGGTTACAAATGGTATATAATAAGTTTTTAATGAGATGTTTGAGTTGGATTTTGGTTAGATTAATTAGTATGGAATATTAGCATACTAAAATTAGTTAAAATTTCTTGAACAACAAGAAATTTCTTTCATTTTCATAAAATCATAAGGTTTGGTAATTTTTGTTTTCAGAGATGTCTTTCCAAGAGAAGAAAGAAGAAACGAAATAAAACAAGTAATTATAAATCCTCTAATACCCATAGAGAAAAGATACAGAAAGGCGACACTCTCATATTGCTCTAACGGAGAAGAAGATTTTGATGAGCATTCAGACAACAAACTAAGCGCTATCTCTAACGTCTCAAAAAGTTTTGTTCAGGTTCATCCAATTAGTCATATCTAGGAGCGAAATTTAGAAATCATTGAGAACGTTTATACATCAAAGAAGAAAGCTAAAGCATCCTTCATCTCTAATGGAGGGAAGAGGCAAGGACTTCTCGGGATGATTAAGAACAAGTTCTTTTAGAGGCAACAAAGTCAAGAGGCCAGTCTCTGAATATTCTAATAAATCTGAGTCCAACTACGTTCAGAAAATGCTGGTAATCCTGAGAAAGGCTCAAAAGCATGGCATCATGACTGAAAAGGAGAAGGATCAGATGGCTAAACTTATTTTCAAAAATGGAGGATTTCCTAAAGCGTATCGTCCACAGCTCTGGACACTTGCTAGTGGGAGTGAAAGACTCAAACGTAATAATTTTGGCTACTATTCTATTCAACCACATGATGAAGATGAGAGGAAGAGTAACGATGATAACCCTGAGCTTACAGAAAAACAAGATAACACCAGTGATGATGGTAATCCTATTGTATAAGTTATAGATATATGAAGACCACTGCTAGATTCTTACCCAGAGATGCCCAGCCCATATAAAGACCAGATAATGGTGGATCTAAACAGGACTTTTATAGAAAATAATGGATCAATAGACAGCAAAGATTTCAATAAGAAACTTTTCAGAATTCTTTTGTCCTATTCGAAACGGAACTCAAATGTTGGCTACTGCCAAGGAATGAACTATCTCGCCGGAATGGTGGTCAGGGTAATTCATAATGAAGAAACAGCATTCTGGACATTATGAAGTTTATTTGAAAATATCCTTCCTCTAGATTACTTTTGACTAATGACAGAAATATTGGTTGACCAAAAAGTACTAATGATGCTGATACAAAAGAAACAAAAGAAATTGTTCAAACATTTGAAGAGCCATGGTGTTGACTTCCCTATTATTACATTTCAATGGTTTGTTTGATGCCTTTCTTGTACCTTAGACCAAGAAGTAGCAGAGACAGTTTGGGATTTACTATTTCTTCAAGGCACATCAGCTATTTTCTGGGCTTCTCTTGCGATCCTTGATATTATGTCTCCAGATTTATTAAAACAAACTGAATTTAACGATATGTACACAACAATGGATACCAAACCAAAAGAAATGATTAATGAGCCTGAGATAATGCTAAAGCATTATCAAAAGTTCATGAGAGTCAAGCCTTGCATGATCTCAAAGCTAAGGAAGAAGTTCAGAGAGGGGATCATAAATGACCAGAGACAAGTGTGGATGAACAACTCCAGAGCAGTATGTCCATCATCCACAGATTCATCTGTGCTAAAAAGAGTGAAAATCCTGAACAAGTTTTTCTTCTTGAACAAGGCTATAAGAGCTAATAAAAAACAGGAACTTCACTTTGAGCTAGACAATGTCGATGACCGCCTATCTTGTTCTGGCATGAAGTGAAATTTTAATTGGCCACTCTGTCTCTACGATTTTACAATTAGAACTCGGATCTGAAACTTCTTCATTTTCAGGGTATCCAAGCCAGTCAGGATCATCCCTGAGTACTTCAGTGATGACCTAAATTTGAGAAGAGAAGAAAAATTTGAGAAGCTGTTCTTCTTCATTCCTTTTGAGAACAAAGATGTTACGATTTATGACAATAAATCTGAGAGAAGAGTTAAACGGATTGAAAGCGCGCAAATTTATGAGAAGAATGAAACAGAAGACAATGAAAAGTATATTCATATTACCGAAGATGAGCAACTGCTAATGACACGAGAAGTTCATCCCTGTGTTTATAATGGGTTCGAAGACCATTTTCATAAAATGTTTGATACAGAAGACAATATATTATATATGAACTGGACTGTTCATACCTGATATGGCTTTGAGCTCCAGAATATCCAATCTATCGAAGCTTTTGTCAATGAGATTCTTTCACTAAAAGAAATAGAGGCTCTGAAGTCTAAAGATTATCAAGAGGAGAGTAAGAATATGATGAATAGAGAATACCGTAATTTCTCTCATTACAGGCTAAATACTTTGTTACGTGAAAGACCACTAAAGGAGGAAAAACTTAAAAGATTTGGGAGCTTCAATTTCCCAAGGCATGGTTTGGACCAACAAATCTGGCAATCTGCGCTTGAAGTTGCTAGTCAAAGTATTATTATTTCAGGCTCATCCGACATTTCCAGTGATTCTGATGATGAATAATAAAAATTATAATACTTGTCTATACTTAGGAAGAGAAGCGGGGTTTTGGGGTTTTGGGGTTTTGGGGTTTTGGGG